AACTTTACTGTTATTTTTATTTTCATTAGATTATGTAGATCTAAAGTAATATCCTAATTGGCCTATTGATTTATAAGTTAATAATTTATGTCTTACTGTTATTGTTACGGAATTTTATCTGTTGTAGCCCTAACAATAGCATTACCATACAAAACCAATAGTGAATGTCTTAATATAATCTCACATGGAAATGCAATCACGTGTTCTTTTTTTTATTTTAATAAGTTTCGAATATTAAATTATTAAAGTATAGAAAAAATAAGAGATGTACTTTTTTTTATAATCGTTTTTCCATTAAGGAAATCCTTCTTTTAAAAAATGAATTTTTTCTTTCTCAGTGAATATTGTTTAAATTAGAAATCTTATATCAGAATCTGGTTACAGGTGCTTTCATGAAAATCCTATGAGGGAGAAAAATGCATGTATACATTTTTTTTCTGTATTATCTCACTTTAACATATATACTGTGTCATTCTATAACTTTAATTGTAGCCTATTGAAATTGGAGAAGAACACTTGATTATGCTTCCTTCTCAGCTGTCGTAGCTCTCTATCCATCCTGTCATAGTATCTGCAGCAAAGTAACTGTTATTACACATTCTCTATCCGATTTTTATTATTTATAATATAACTGTTCGAGAAGATAATTTATTTTGAACATGATTGAAAGCCATTTGAAAAAAAAGGAAAAAGAAAGAAGAAACGAATATCGGGTATATTTACACGGTAAATGATCGTTTGTTTAATCTCAGGATGCTTGGTGAGATAATGGCGATATGCACGTTAATTATGATTTTGCGGGCTAAAAAATGAAAAACGTTATTAATTGTCAGAAAATATAAAAATTTTCGCAGCGAAGACGATGTGATTATCTGCCGATCCGAATCAACGTCCTGGGATTAAGGAACCTGGAGGACATGCATCTCTCTGACATCTTTAAAAGAGACTATATCTCCTGATTCAGTTGTAGCATTAATTGATATCATAGAGATAGTGAAACATGGCGAGATGACGCGAAATGGACAGATGTTGATCACCGTTTGTCACGCGAATGTATCTTATATCACGTGAACCATGATATAAGAATATTAGGTATACATTTTATACATTCATGACCAATTGGACTAATCAGAAATTTACTACCAATTACAATTAGTCTCAAATTATATTGCGCGTAATGTTATACCTGGCATTCTTACATTATGACGGGGATCATTATATGATGGATGACGAGAAGTGCGATAAGAACACAGAGCGCCGAAACATTGGTCGCTTTTTGCGTCGTTTCCATAGGGGTGCATCTCGGAGTGTTCTAGCACAAATGTATACTGCTGGTCATTAAAATTGTAATATCAAAATATATATCAAAATATGTCAAGTGATATATATTTATATGATAGATTATTTATGATACATGGAGTTTAAAATTACAGCTTGGTATTTTTATTAGAAGTATATTTTTATATTCTATCATATGATCTATCCATTCTGTAAATTTCAATATTTCAATACATTTTTTCCATTGTAATTTCAATGACCAACAGTGTGCCGAGAGCGTGAAGATGTCCTAGCGAGATGATACATGAGCTTAAAGAAAGCTCATCATCTCCATGTCTTCATTTCCGTCAACATTTTCCTCCTCAAGAGTTCTTTCTTTTTTTTTCCCTCTATCCCACCCTCTCCTCCCAAGAAGCATAGGACACGCTCGCGGTATATACGTTCCATGCATACGCACACTCATACATACACACGCGATATAATCTCTTTCTTTTTTTATCTCCTTATTATACACTTTCTGTATATCGACGATTTTTATATCGACGGTGAAAACGATCATGTTTAATAAATGTGCCTTGTGGATATATATATCTTTTTGCTTGCCGGGTTGGTGGACTCTTATCCTGATTATATTACGTTGCCCGGTGGTTGCACTCTTCGCGTCCGATCCCTTTGCGCCGTCTCGCTCTCCGCACTTCTCTGGAGCGAGACGAAGCGTTACTTGTAAGTGATAGAGTATGTGAGGAGGATATGGCTTTTCTTTAAAACGCAAAGTTCGAAACTTCCGAAAGATCTTGTTGGAATAGAAATTGAAGATTGCAACCACCGCGTATCTTGTTACGTTCTATACATTTTTTTTTCATTGGGCTCACAGGTATCTTTGGTATATCTACAAGTCAAGTTGGAGATTTCTGTGTCGTAACTCTTAGCTCTCTTTCTCTCATTCGTCCTCCTTGTTTTTTGTTCTGTTTTTCTTTTGCGTAAAATTCTCTCTCTCTCTCTCCCCCCCCCCTCCTTCCCCCCTTTCTGTCCATTTTTTTGACCTTTTTATCCGTGAATTTTCTCTTCTTTCTATCTCCACTTAAAAGACTGATCTCTGAGGCCGGTTCATAATTGGTTCTTACATTTAAGACCGTCTTAAGATGTTATAAGTCAATCACAGAACCGTATTAACATCTTATTTTTTATTACTTAAGACAACATTACTTAAGACGATTTTAAAATAAGATCGTCCGACTATTCTCCTCTCTCATTTCGTGATTACTCACTTTTTCAAGATGTTGAGAGACATTTATTCAAGTTAAATACTATCAAAAAGTTATTCTTCAATGTGGCCAATACTTACAAGTCGTTGCTTTTTGCTATGCCGATCATTCCAGCGGCCTATTAGAGACTAGTTAATAAATCTATTTATTCCTCCCATTGTGTTACACGTTTCCGCCTGCAAATGGCCCAATGCGATATGAATCCACGTTTTTTTTCTTCAAATTGTGCGAAATGACAGCCTGCCATTCGTATCATGTTTTTGCTCAAACCTATTTGCCTCAAATCATGGAACATGGAATAACTTTAAAATAATTGCTGTATGTGATTTATTTATTTTTCAGACTCTTTTAAATATCTAAGGAAGATAAATGATACGCACGTGGGCTGTACTTTTGTTACAAAAAGGCGCACGCAAAAAGGCTTTTTCGCTAGGCAAAAAAGAGAAGAGCACGAGAGAGAGAGAGAGAGAGAGAGAGAGAGAGAGAGAGAGAGAGAGAGAGAGAAGGGAGTGAAAGAGAGAAAGGAAGGAAAGGGGAGAGAAAAAGAGAGTGAGAATCTGCGTGTATCTGGTGATTTGGCAGAGGGGCGAAATCGCAAGTTGCTGCATTACATATTATATATATATATATAAAAAGATATACATTATACATCGTGTTACAATGGTGCAGTGTCGATTGCTGTTATGGTAGCGGGACCTACAAATACTAACTTCTGTGCTTCCAGGTAGGCCAAGTCCAAATCATTATTCCTTTGGATAACTGCATTCTTTGTACGTTTTGGGCACGCGCGAGCTTATTTTTCGCAAAGTTTTAAAGTAGTTTTTATAATACTTTTAAAACAATGAAAAGGATTATTTTTGATTGTTATCAGGTATGTATGTAGAATTGGATCGTCGCGCTGCGTCGCAGCGCCGATCAAATACTTAATATATGTGCATAAAATACATGTCTAACAGAATGTTTGCTCAAACCGTACTAAGATCAATCTAATTGAAAGTGAAATCGTGCAGCGTACAAAGATCTTAGTGGTTGTTTCATTAAAAAAAGAAAAAAACAGGTATCTCACTAATTCACTTTCATAGTGCGAAACACGCTGTTGAATATGGTCGACTGTATACTGGCGCATTACTAAATGAGAAACGCTTTGTGTGCTTCTAGAAACATCTCTGCGGATCTGCACGATGTCACTCGTCGTAATTATGGAGTGGTTACATAGTGGGCGCTCTTCTTTACGTTTGTACATACATAACGGACGATCGTGGGTACTGCGAGTCCCTTTTTTTTTCTATCAACGATACGTTAAGTTCGAATCCGCGATATTACAAACTATAAGAGATAACTGACTTCAAATCGTGATTATAAAGGTCAAAAAAAGAAATCCGTGAATCGCAGTAGATTCTACAAGCACGATTGCTTTTTTTCATCTGCGTTGATCTAATTAAGCTGCCCGGATCATTTCGATCGAACATTGATTGTCGTCCTTTTTCTTTCTTTCTTAGGGGGCACAATGTTGCCACCACCACCTGTGGCGATATTTCCGCCTGCAGCCGCAATGCTGTCCCGTGGCCCGCCGCAATTTGCAACGCCATATCCGCCACCCATTTTTTACTGGCCTTACCCTTCACCGCCGGTTAGCCCGACTAATTATTACACCCCCGCAAACGTCGGCGGTATCGCACCCATTCCTCAGCAAGCTGCTCTGGTGAGTAAATCCTCGTGTCTTTTTGAAATAAATCTTGTTCTTTCTTGTGCAGCCCCATCATTTATCTAGTCTTTTTTTTATAAATAATTCCAATGGAAATGTGTGAATTGTATATTCAGTATTTAGAAACTAAAATTAAACATTTTTTATATGTATACATTGTATGATATCGAAGATCAATAAGGAATCGAATTTGTATTTTATAGCGTTGTATCTTCACTTCTATCATTTAATATAATTCTTTTGTAAGTAGTGTTTATTACTTAACTTTATTAATTTAATAAGAATTTCTAGACTCAGAATTCTTTAGTTCTATAATTGTTTGAATTTTAATTGAGCCTTTGGTTCTATATGATTTTAATTAAAATTAAAATTAAAATTAAAATTAATTATTAAAAACTTCCAAAATGGAGATTCAAACAGTTAATGTTGTGTTTTTTAGGATAAGACACTACACGTCCAGCTCGTATTAACTTATTGTTAATTCTATATATATTACTCGCATAGAATATTTGTGATATTCTAAAATTATTTCAATTTTCATTATAATCTCTTTGATGTTTACAATTAAATAAAGATTGATAATATTCTATATATATCCTT